TAATAACTAGAGCTCTAGGTGAACTCCACAGAGATCTGGGTTCTAATGACGGCTGCTCTTACTGATACGGTTCCTCTGTCTCGTGGTAATAGCTTCACTCTTGTGTCTGGAGAAATATTCATATTTTCCTGCTTCTTGCTGAAGCTGAAGGAGAGATAGGAAATAAAGATGACTGAAACACGCAGAGGGAGAAGACTGCACGGTTCCTCAGTAGTAAAAACTCCTTTGCTTTTCAGCTCCCAAGGATCTCAGCCTCATCAGAGGTGGCATTCCTTAGCATCCAGATAAAGGGGCCTACACAAGGAAGAGGAACACACTTCTGGTAACGAACGCCCAAAGTTTGGTCTTTGTCCAGACAGACAAACCCATCTACAAACCAGGACAGACAGGTATGTAGGGAAATTCCACCGGTTGGGCCAACACTGAGAAGGAAGGGTCACCTGAGCTCCAAAGTCTCCATTATCCTAGCCCCGTAGCCTTCTGTCTTATCACCCAAATTACCTGCTTTATTGTGTCTGAATCTTATCAGAGAACTACTTTTTCAGTAAGATTCCGTGTTGTCTCTGTGGATGAAAATTTTCGCCCTCAAATGAACTGGTAAGCATCCAACATCTATAGTTTGGAGCTAGTTTGATTTGTCCATTATGATATCTGCAAGGATGAGGAGAGGAAGTGATAATGTGAAAATTTCTAAGGGAAAGCATCAGAGAAAAATAAAACCTGGATGGCATCACAAAAGGGGGGATAGAACAAAAGCTGATTGCGATACTTTGCCCTATAGGGATGGATATGGGTAACGATTAATTCCATGACATAGCAGAATAGAAAGAACTAATCAACAGCATTCTTGGAAGTTGAATTACTCAAATCTCCCTCTCGTATTCACAGGGAGGAGTAGAAGATGAAGTGACCCTCTCCGCCTATATCACCATCGCCCTTCTGGAGATTCCTGTCCCAGTCTCGGTAGGTACCACCTCATTCCTCTGCAGAAGGAGAGTTCTGGGTGCAGAGAAGCTGCTGACCTGCTGTCTGAAACACTATCCTATGAAAAGCAAAGCATCAGCTTTCCTTCTGTGCAATGCCGGTGCTGCCCGGATCTCCAGAGAATTTGATCAATCCATTAAGAAACGTTTACGTTTTCCCAGTAATTCCCCTGGGCTCTTTACCACCACCACTCAAAAAAGAATCTTAAAGATATGTCTTTTAATATGAGAATAACAGATAAAAATGCTATTATATCCATCTATAAGAATGAGGACTAGATGGGAAAATGTGCTTAAAAACTTCTGTGCTGTGGTCTTTGTATGTGCCTAGGAATGCCAGCACGCCTATTTACATAGCTTACTTCTCATCACAGCACCATGTTGTCCGCAATGCCCTGTTTTGCCTGGAGTCAGCCTGGAAGACAGCACAGGAAGGGGCAAGTGGCAGCCATGTGTACACCAAGGCACTGCTGGCCTATGCTTTTGCCCTGGCGGGTAACCAGGACAAGGGGAAGGAAGTACTGGAGTCACTTAATGAAGAAGCTGTGAAGAAAGGTGAGAGCACACCAGAGATCCCTCTCCTGCCCTACCCTCTGTATCAAGAACCGCGTGGCAAAATCCCTCGCTCCTGCCTCCGGTGATCCCTGTCTCGTCTCTTCTTCTCTCTATATCGTTTTGTCCATATTGCATTTTATAAAATCTAGGATTTCCTGATCAAATCAGAATGCAAAAGACAAGAAGCAGTGCAGATGCTTCTCAACTTACGTTGGGGTTATATCCTGACAAACTCATTGTAAAGCCTGAAAAATCTTAAGTGGGGCCATTTTAAGTCAGGGACCATCTATATAGTGTGTTGATAAGAAGAGCATTCTCTGGAGACTAGCTCCAACGTGTGCTACGTATGTGAGCCTGGGAAAGTCATCAGCTTCCTGTGTTTCAGTTCCTTCATCAGCAAAATGGGGATAATGATAGTATTAACCTCACAGAGCTGTTGCATCAAATGAATTGATACGGGGAAAACAGTAGAGTACATGGCACACAGCAAATCCTGTAAAAGTACTAGTGAGTACTTCTAATATATCAGTTCTCAGCACATGCCCAACCCTTATCTGGTACTTTATATAATCTTAAGCATAAGAAAATAATTATGGAAGTAACTCCTGGAATGAATTCTGGTATTTTAAGCCCATTTCACAAGACCAATAATGTTGACCAATCTACTCGTATTCACATAATACTTCTACATATACCATGGTCTATATGAGGGGTTGAAGAAATAGAAAATAAAATGCAAATCATAAGATGTCCATTAAAATAGTCTACCTTTTTTCTCTGACAGCCATTAATAATTCCTCTTAAAATGTATTGAGAAATATTTTATAATAGACATACAAAAGGTCGTAAGATCTCACTAGAAAACACTGTAAACTCTCTCATAGATTAAGAAATAGAAAATTACCCATATAGGAACAAATAAACCCCCTGTGTATCACTACCATCCCCAGAAGCAATCATTACCCTGAATTTGTCGTTACGGTGCCATGGATTTCTGTATATTTTTGTTGCATATGTATCCCTAACTAATATTTGGAATCTTTACATGTGTTTCATCTTGAGAGAAACAGTATCATATTTTTTATTATTTCAGCCACTTGGTCTTTTGTTTGTCTTTTATTTTCTAAGTTCAACATTATGTTGATGAAGACCTCTATATAAGTAAGTGCAGCATCAGCTCATTAATTTTCACTGCTGCATAATATATTACAGTCTATAAGTTAGTCATAATTTACACATCGAGTTTCTCCTCATGAATTCTTTTGTGTTTTGCTACTAAAAGCAATGCTGCAATGAACACTCAGTGCCTGTTTCCGTGTGATGTGTTTCTCCGACTTACACTTTAGGAAGCGTAATGACTGCTTAGTGGGCTAGGCACGTCTTCCCCGTTGCTGAATATCGCCAAAGAGCGATCGACTTCCCACAGCGGTGTGTATCGGTTCCCATTGTCTCACATCCATGTCAGCCTTTGGTGCTTCAAGGATTACTGTATAATTTTTCAATCTAACGAGTACAAACTCTGCTATTTCATGTGATCTGTGATCCTCACAAGAACTCGCTAAGGTCAGGCTTTATAGGAAATGTGACAAACTCCAGCTATGATCTAACATGACGTCATAAATAGGACACAGCCACACCCAGTGATACAACTGCTGTGTCTCTCTCCCACCAGCCCAACTGCAGCAAGTGTTTGAAAACGTGGACAGGTGCAGGCTTCTGACTCCAGCATCGGCATCTGCCTTAGCTGGGCTGAAACACACCAAATTCAGATTTACATAGAAGGAAAAGCATCTGCAGACAGTTCAGGGGATCGTAATGGGCATGCAGCTCACATTTCAGCACTTGGCTTGGGCACTTTTACCTTTAATTAAATATAAATATGTAGTCACTTATAAATATATTTTCCTCACTTTTAAGACAACTCAGTCCATTGGGAGCGTCCTCAGAAACCCAAGGCACCAGTGGGGTGTTTTTACCAACCCCAGGCCCCCTCTGCTGAGGTGGAGATGACGTCCTATGTGCTCCTCGCTTACCTCACGGCCCAGCCAGCCCCAAGCTCGGAGGACCTGACGGCTGCAACCAACATCGTGAAGTGGATCAGGAAGCAGCAGAACTCCCAGGGTGGCTTCTCCTCCACCCAGGTTGGTGATTCACCAAAACCTTTTATTTCACCTTCAGGTAGCAAAAGGCTTGAACAAAAAAAGTACGAACACATCCGAGAAGAAAAAATAAAGGTGACAATAACTTGAAATGAGGAAAAAGTTTGTAGTATTTAAGGATATTGAGAAATAAAAGAAAATGAAAGTCAAGAGGGCCAAAAAGAAATGCTCAGAATTCCAGCGCCCCATCCCTGTGTTGTTACCCAGCTCCTGTTTCCCACAGCAGCACTGCCTGCTTCGAGCAGCAGTGGAGCACCAGCAGAATGACGGCGATGTCTCCTGCCACCCTCCTGGACGCTCCAGGGTCTCTTTCAAACTGTTCAGAGGAACTCTACTCAAAACCCAACAACCTCCACTCACAAATCTCTCCACTCTTAGGTTCCTTTTAGTTGGCATTTTTCAAAACCATACCTTTTGTGCTTCCCCTGTTCACCTCTTGGTTTTTTGCTTGTGTTTTTCTTTTTTTGAGACAGTGTTTTGCTCTGTCACCCAGGCTGGAGTGCAGTGGTGCAGTCTCGGCTCACTGCAACCTCCACCTCTGGATTCAAGTGATTCTCATGTCTCAGCCTCCCGGGTAGCTGGGATTACAGGTGCGCACCACCATGCCTGGCTGATTTTTGTATTATTAGTAGCGACCGGGTTTCGCCATGTTGCCTAGGCTGGTCTCGAACTCCTGAGCTCAGGCAATCCACCTGCTGTGGCCTCACGAAGTGCTAGGATTATAGGTGTGAGTCACTGCACCTGGCCCCCTATTTACCTCTTAATATACAAACTTTTATTCATCAGGAGCATAAAGAACTGTCTTTATTCATCCAAACTCCTAAGTCTAGCTATATAACCATGTATCTCAACAATTCACCAATGTGTACACAGCAGGAAGTTTTACTTTGAGAGAATTTAGATGTTTGCTTATATAAACTGAAACAAAAAAATGTGACAAAATGGGCATTCCATCCTATTTCCATGGCATCTCTTATCATATGAATGAAAAAAACTAAGTAATTTTGTTAAAAGTTATCATTCATTTCTTAGAAACGTATTATTTGAAGGAGGCCATCCAGGTTTGATATTGATGAGGATAAATACCAGCGATATTCACTGGGAACAGGAAATCGTCTAATAAAACAGGAAAGCCAAATAAAAATGTCATTAAATTCAGAAGATAATCATAATATTCATCTTTTATTTATTCTGGAGAAACTGAAGCATGACTCTGCTCGTGGCTGCAGAGAACCTTGAGTTCTCTCAGGGCACTGACCTCAGCAACTGAGCAAAGTTTGATGTGGGAGCCAGACTGAACTTTGCTTGGACGGTGGCAGACGTGACCACAGTCGTCAAGAAAGACTTGCTAGCAAATAGCTGATGCCAATGACTGATTACCACTCACATATATTTCCCACATTCCATGTCCCACATACTTACAGAGAGAAAAGGATCAGTTTTCCGATAAATAAAATAAACGTGTAGGGCATACAGTCCAAGGTAGATATGTGAACGTTATGGTTCTTTAACTATTTAAAGATTATAATCGATCTTGAAATTAGAGCTCCAATGTTTACGTAGTGAGGGAAGTAGGAAATCAGAGTCCCTCACAGGGGCCTTTATGAAAAATATCTCAGCCCTCAAAGCCTTGTCACACCTAAGCGGGGACTCACTCATCTCTTCCAGGACACAGTGGTGGCTCTCCATGCTCTGTCCAAATATGGAGCAGCCACTTTTACCAAGACTGGGAAGGCTGCACAGGTGACTATCATCCAGTCTTCAGGGACGTTTTCCAAAACTTTCCAAGTGGACAGCAACCATCGCCTGTTACTGCAGCAGGTCTCATTGCCACAGCTGCCTGGGGAGTACAGCACGAAAGTGACGGGAGAAGGGTGTGTCTACCTGCAGGTGAGACTCGGGCAGGTGCGGAAAGAGGGCACGTGCGGACAGCAGCTGTTCTCACTGAGAAGTCCTAACTCCGAAAACAATGGGGCAAATCGGAGAAAGGGTGAGGGAAGTTGAGAAGAATTCTGGGAAAGGGCACAAAACTGATTTTGTCTTTGATGTTTCATAGACATCCTTGAAATACAGTATTCTCCCAGAAAAGGAAGAGTTCTCGTTTGCTTTAGAGGTGCACACTCTGCCTCAAACTTGTGATGAACCCAAAGCCCACACCAGCTTCGAAATCTCACTGAATGTGAGGTAAGAACTTCTGACTGTATCACCTAATTCTAACAACCACCAATCTTCTTACTGGGACTCTTCTTTAAGTAAAGCAGTACAACAGCAAATATTTGTACTGCATTCATTGAAAATGCAACGTATGCTCTCAAGTTGACATATTATAATTCTCAGTGATGGGGTTTACATGGTCCATCCAGGATCTATTATTGGGCAACCTCATTGTTTAAAGGGTAATAATTCCCCTCAATAATAACTAAATAAATATTACCCACTGCTTCTGACCTGAATTCCTTCTAATATAATGAAATCCTATATTATTCTTGCTTTATTCAAGACAGAGATGAAGAATTATTGAAAAGTTTGACTAGAAGAAAGCAGTGACTCTTTAGTTAGAATTCCTACTGGCAATAAATAAATCTCAGGTTATGCATGATATAATTAACTTTGGGGAAAGATACACTTACATGCTGCAGACCTGACAAAAATTATCTCTCCACAAGAATAGTATAACTTGGTTGGGGATACTATTCAGGAAAAAAGTTAAGACAAAATGTAAGTAACAAATAACTGGTACACATAAAAGAGAACGCGATCATGACCTCTGCAGGAACATGGGTGGAGCTGGGGTCATTAGCCTTAGCAAACTAACACAGGAGCAGAAAACCAAACACTGCATGTTCTCATTTGTAAGTGGGAGCTAAATGATGGGAACACATGAACACAAAAAGGACAGCAGGTACTGGAGCCTACTTGAGGATGAAGGATGGTAGGATGGAGAGGAGCAGAAAAAATAACTGAGTACAAAATTTAGTACCCAAGTGATGAAGTAATCTGTACACCAAAGCCCCATGAAACGGGTTTACCTATATAACAAACCTGCACATGTATGCCTGAACCTAAAACTTATTTATACACACACACACACACACACACACACACACACATGCAGATATACATATATATCAAAGCATAAAGTTTTGATATATATATATACATCAAAATATATGTACATATTTAATTTAATTTCGCATATATATTTGCCAAAAAATAAATTAAGCAGTCCAAGTGTCAGATGCAAACTCTCAGGGACAGGTCGCTAGGTGTTTGTAAGTGTTTTGCTGAGAGCCAGTGTTTACGTAAACACGGCAAATTACGGTTGTTTTTGTAAATAATGTAGACCGAAATGTATTATTCATAATATACATCATTTTGTCAGCTGAAAGAAAATAAAATTAAACAAATAAATAAAATAACCGGAATAGATTAGCGGTTACAAGCCGCCTGTGCATCATTTGTAGAGCTTTCTTAAAATGCAGATCCTCAGCCCCCATGCACCAGAAGGTCTGATTCATCAGGTCTAGAGGAGGAGGGCCTGGTCTCTGTGGCTTTAACAGGCTTCCTAAAAATTCTACACAAGCCACTTTTACAAACCACCGGGATAAGATATTTGGGAAGACTTACATGTAACTTTTAGAGTTGTGGAATACTTGATGTGGACATAGAAGAAGAAAATACTTTAAAACACAGAAAACTCTAATCCCATCCTCCCCTGGATCCTCAGTTACACCGGGAGCCGCTCTGCCTCCAACATGGCGATCACTGATGTGAAGATGATCTCTGGCTTCGTTCCCCTGAAGCCGACAGTGAAAATGGTAGGTTTTTCATAAGTCACGAATGCCCTATTTTATTTAATGTTGTATGTATTCCCAGCATGAGACAATACTAATATTAAAATACTATTAAAATCAATCTCTATTGGCTAAGTGTGGTGGCTCATGCCTGTAATCCCAGCACTTTGGGAGGCTGAGGCGGGCAGATCATGAGGTCAGAAGTTCAAGACTAGCCTGGCCAACATAGTAAAACCCCGTCTCTGTTAAAAATACAAAAATTAGCCAGGTGTGGTGGCACATGGCTGTAGTCCCAGCTACTTGGGAGGCTGAGGCAGGAGAATCATTTGAACCCAGGAGGCGGAGGTTGCAGTGAGCTGAGATTGCACCATTGCACTCCAGCCTGGGTGACAGAGCGAGACTCCATCTCAAAAAAAAAAAAAAAAAAAAAAAAAAATGGATCTCTATCAAAGCCTTATGCTTTTTCCAAGTTCAGAAATAAAATTGTATGAATGCTCACCTTGTGCAGAGCACTGTGCTAGGAGCCATGACTACTAGAAAAAAAATTGGCAGTAGGTTCTAGCTTTTCAGTTTCTTCTTAGCTTAGAATTTTGCTAAGAAGATAAAACATATGAACATGAACTAGCGAAAAATATGAAAATGACTGATTGACATAAATTATAAGTATTACAGAAGATAAAAGAAAATTATGGCAATTAAAACAGGAAAAAACTCTTTTATGAAGCAATAGAAGCTGAATTGAACTTTGAAATATGTGTAACTACTAAGCTTTGGATACTTAGCTCCCTTTTCTTCAGATAAATAACTACACATTAGTCATTATACTAATATTAAACCCTTTATGTCTTTCATTTTCAATTGTATTACATTACGTCTTTGCTTACAAAAAGCATTTGAAGAATTCTCCCCCCAGGCTTATTTGGCAATACAAAATATTTTTTCTGTGAATCCCCCAGGGATTTCATCTATTTATTAACTTTTGTGGTGTTTCAGTTTTCTTCAGCTGGAAAGATCTAACCACGTGAGCCGGACAGAAGTCAGCAACGATCACGTCTTGATCTACCTGGATAAGATAAGAGACCATCCAGTCTATTTGCAAAAAAAAACGTAGATAATAATCCTCTAAGGGAACACCTGGGAAGTGGGTAAATGCATTTTAGAAACATCACTTCCATGCTAGAAATTTGAGAACTCTAATGTTAACTCTAAAAGAATGTTCTCCTCTTCTTTATTTATATTTCACTGGGGACGATGGGTAGAGATGGCTTATTATAATCTTGGGATATGAATATTCCTAAAACCCCGTAAGCAAGAAATCTTCACAGAATGTGTTTATTATGTTGACAAGTTATTTCAATACCCAGTAATAAAAGGAGTAGCCCTTGTGATTAGTCAATTATTAGTTAATTATCAACATACCCAACAACAATATGAAAATGAAAAGAACTGTCAATCTCCGCAAGGACTTGAACCATAAAATAATAAGACCGTTCACCAATAAACCAATCTGATTTTATAGATGTGTGTGGTAGGAGAGTTTGTTCATGCATACGTTGATGGGAATTATAGTTTACAAATTTGATGAAACTTAAACAAGCCTGGAATGATCAACCTTTTAGATTCCTCTTAGAGTCTACACACATATTCCTGCAAGACAGAGAAGTGAAACTGTACCAAATCTCTGTATATTTAAAATTAACACAGTTAGTCATCCAATAAAAAGTATATAACATTTACCCTCATGAACAGAGCTATATATTGGCATTGACAGAGGTATGTGTGTTGTGTTAGTTATTTAATAAATACCGTCTCATACGAAATAACAGTAAGACAAAAAGAAAAAAAAAGTTATTTAATAAATAATCTGGAGAATTTATCATCTCCTCTGAGAGATTTCTGCACAATTTAATTAAGGACCCCGTAGTGTGCTGTAGGACGATAAAGCTTTTCCCCAAAAAGCAGATGAATACTTAAACTAATTCAAGGAGAGAAGAAAGCTTCCTGAAATGTCATCTAATTGACTTTTGCTTTCCAGGTGTCAGATCAGACACTGAGCTTGTCCTTCACGGTTCTGCAAGATGTCCCAGTAAGAGATCTGAAACCAGCCATAGTGAAAGTCTATGATTACTATGAGACAGGTGAGTGAGAGTGATTTTCACATAGAAATTAAGTCCCTGATCACAGAAATTCAGATTTGGGGGATGTGTTGGGGCTATTTATTACATTAAGGAATTACATTATCACTTCATTTTGTCTCCATCAAATCTGATCCTCCTCTTTTTGTCTCTTATACATATGTTGTAGAAACAACCTGCATTATAAATGTATCAACTACTAATACAAAACACCCGTAGGGTATTTAGTTCTCTTTTAGTCAGATAAATAGACTGTAGGAAAATATGAGATTTAAGTAAGCAGAACATCTGAAGAGTCCTTCAGGAGTTTGGGGTAAAAGAAAATATGACATACTGTATTTGAAAGGAGAATGTAAGGTAGCAAGCAATGCATCAAATGAACGACGCCGATGTTTCTGATACAATACTGCTCTTCCCACAACAGACTCCTGACTTGGCCTGTGTCCCATAGATGTTTGCTTTCTTTCTCAATTCATGTAATAATTTCTGTTATTTTTCTTCAGATGAGTTTGCAATTGCTGAATACAGTGCTCCTTGCAGCAAAGGTAAGCCACTCACACGCCTTCAAAATGCAGTCAGAACTTTTCAGCCTGTCCCCAAACCTCCTGCTTCATAAAACTCTGGCTAAATATTTGTCATAAACATTGTATTGCTCACACTGCACATTATTATAGAAAAACACATTTATTGGAGAGGACCACTGACTCTGTCAAACCTCAGACAGTCATAGGATTGCTGACGGGTAATGATTTGGAATGGATTTGGTTTCCCACTGTACTGACTGGGTTTCCGTAGGCACTGTGCTACCCAGAACTAAGGGAATACTCTCCACTCATGGAGACCAAAGTCTGTCTTAATTTTTTCTTCTTTCCAATATCACAGATCTTGGAAATGCTTGAAGACCACAAGACTGAAGAGCGCTTTGCTGGAGTCCTGTCCTCAGAGCGCCACAGAAGAAACATGTTTTTGTATCTCCAAAGGCTTGATGAATGAACATTTTTGTCTGGTCAATGTCTTTCCATGTTTCCTGTTCATTCAATAAATATTTCTTTACATTTCCATATGATTCTCAGTAGAATACAAAGATAGAACTTAAAGGAATCAAGTGCTGAGGGACTTCAGAATACCAAAAAATGATAGAGAGATGTTGGTCTGAGCAGGCTTCATGTAAGGACTGTGGGGAAAGAAGAAAGTACTGGGTTATGTACTAGGAAAGCGTAAAGTACGTTTAGTTATGGGAATGCCCTATGAAAAAGCCAAAGAGTGACGGTGTCTCACTCTGTCGCCCAGGCTGGACTGCAGAGGTGTGATCTCGGCTCACTGCAACCTACGCCACCCATATGCAAGCAATTCTCCTGCCTTGGCCTCTCGAGTAGGTGGGGCTACAGGTGCATGCCACCATGCCCGGCTAATTTTTAGTAGAAACAAGGTTTCACTGTGTTAGCCAGGATGGTCTTGATCTCCTGACCTCATGATCCACCTGCCGTGGCCTCCCAAAGTGCTAGGATTACACGCGTGAGCCACAGCACCCAGCCTAAAGAGTGAATTTTTGTGACAAAATAAAAGACTGACTTCACCAGAAAAGACTTTTACATTAAAATGAAATAGAATGAAACACAACACTGAACGGGTCATATTGGAGGCATGTTCGTTGGGACTTGACCTGAATTGGGAGTTGTGCGTCCTATGTTACACCAAAATCTCCCACTGATGAGAGTGATCAGTCAGTTAACCTGGGCTCCCAGATTCAATAATAGATGAGCTGAAAATATTGAAGGGAGGGTTCGTGCAGAAGCAAGTTTTCTCAGAAGGAGGAATGTGTATGACTCAAAGTCCGAATAGGCGTAATATATTGGAGCATCTTTCTTCTGGAACCCTGAGCCGCGATGGAAGGGTAGATGTAAAGTCAAGGAAGTATTCTGATGCAGAAATCAGTTTTCACAACATCTGATTGATGTCTGAGGTCTGATGTCTCACACCATCTCTTTAGTCTATTTTTTAAATACCTGATTTTCCTTGCAGCAAGTATTGCAACATATATTTCCATTCTATGCAAGGGGAAGCAGGAGCTTCAGGAGCTTGTGAAGAAGTGGGAAAGGCCAAGGCAGGAGGATTGAGCCAACGGAGTCTGAAGGCAACCCTAGGAGTCCTACTTTTCATTTGGCACAAAAATGGCAATGTTTAGTTAGGCAGAAGTTGAGTATGGATTGTGTAAACTAAGCTGGAAAGGACTTTGAAGTTCAAGCAATCCTTAGCTCTGTCTCCAGGCTAGACAAAATAAGAAATAAAAGCCATCACTTCTGTGTGGTGCTTACAGCATAAGCACACACAGATATTAACACATCAGCATTACGGGATCTTTGAGGTGCCGTTCTCCTGCCCGGTCTGGTGGCACCTTTGCCTGAATTTTGCTCTGGGCCCACTGGGCTACTTCCGCCCATTCACACTTGCCACCAGCCCGGATCCTGCATCCAAGGAAAACTGAGACAGGCGTGGAGCGGAGAGGAGTGTGCTAGGGTGTGTGAGCAAGCGTGGCCACCGTGCAGTCGCACACCAGCTGCTGCCTGGGTTGTGCAGCTCCAGGTGCCACCACGGGCTCCCTGTGAGGTGGCTGCACCAGGCACACAACAAGTAGCTTCCCTCTGGGCCAGGCACACCACAACAGCTTCCACCAGTGACACGGGGGAATGCAGTGAGGCCAACCAGGTTCCCAAGGAGGGAGTCACAGGTCTGCGCTCCCCAGGGGGCTGCAACTCTTCTCCCTATGGGGGAGCAAGGGCCATGTTGCAGCCCTGTGTTACGCTCTTTTGGCCTGGCTGTGCGGCTCTCAGTGCTTGCACCAAGCAGACAAGTGAAGAATGAGACAGATGAAGAGGAGCATTATTGAGCAATGGAACAGAAGGATGAGCAAGATGAAGAGGAAAGAGATCCGCAGTTAGCAGCTCCTTCCCACAGCAAGGGTGTCCAACGAGTGTCCAGCTTCTAGCAGAAAGAAGACCCGGGAGCGGGCGGCTTCTCTCTGCAAACAGGTCTTGCCGTTCAGTGGTCAGCCTTCAGCAGAGAGGAGGTCCTAGAATGGGTAGCTCCTCTCCGTAGCAGGTCACCCTTGTCTTCCCGTCCTCCCTTCCAGTCTAGCTGAGCCCTGGGATTGTATGAACCTCAGAGGAAAGGAAATGTGAGCCGATTGGTTCATGGGAAGCCATGGATGGGCCCAGGGAACGGCACCGCAAGTTCCCGCTCTGGTCTGCAGGCTTCAGGCCCTTCCCGGCTTGAGGGTGGGGCTTCACCGGGGACCCACCCCATTCCACCCAGGAGCCCGTCTGCCTCCTGCTACCAAGCTGTTCACGCCAAGGGGTGCCTGCAGGCCAGTGCTGGGCTGTCTTCAGCCCCCTCAGCCTCCCTCTCATGCTTGTTGGTGCCCAAGTTCCGGAGGGGGCCGAGATGGCAGGGGGCTGGCATGTCAGCGCTGTCCCCATGTGCACAGTGGGCCAATCTGCAATGGCGCCCAGGCTCCGCCCGACCTTGCTCTGAGATCAGAGTGGGTGCTGACAATGGAGAGAAGCCAGGCAGCAGGAGCAGGCACCCTCGCGTCTGCAGGGGGCAGGAGGCTTTCCTGGGCCCCCGAGAGCCCAGAGATGTCCGCAGCCGCGGCAGGGTGGCTCCTGTTCTGCCAATTCGGAAGGGGCAGCGCTCCCGCTTGTCCCTGGCTCACCTGCTCCGGAGCGCGCAGCTCCGGCGGTGCCTCCTGGCTGCCTGGGGTGGCGGGCGGGGGCGTGTTCCAGGTCCTCCCCGGGCCCGGGTCGGCTTCCGGGGCAGGGGCGACTGTCGCTGCAAGCCCTTCCCGTGGCCCCGGGACTCTCCCTTGCCTGGCTCACCGCCCTGCCCGGGGGCGCCTCCACGAGCAGATCGCGGGCCCTGGGGCCAGGCGGTCAGGAAAGTCAAGCTCGGCGGTCACCCCAACGCGGGGCGGACCTGGAGACGCGCCCCTGGGGGCCCCACTCAGAGCCTCCTCCCAAGGCCCAGGAGCCCGGCTCTGTCGGGGTGTGCGCGGTGGCCACAGCCGTGGCCGGGTCCCCGCAGCGCGCCCCGCTCCCACTTCCCGCCCTGGCCCGGGAAGCCTGGCCCCAGCTCAGCGCCCCGAGTCCCGCTCCGCTCTCCGGGTCCGAGCCCGGCACAGCCCCGGGCCCCTCTCTGCCCCGGGCCCCTCTCTGCCCGCCCTCGGTGCGGACTTCGCTGCTCCCCCTCCAGCGGCCGCCCCAGCCCGGCCCCGACGCGGAGGCTTCAGGGGCGGCAGGCTAGGTGGTTGGGACCCCCCGGGACGGGCCGCCTCCTCCCCACGCACAGCGGCGACCGGGGGCCGGGTCCGGAGCGGCGCAGGTCCCAGCCCGCACGCGAAGAGGTGGCGGCGCAGTCGGCGCCTTGGGGTCTCAGGGCGCGGGGGCGCGAGGCGCAGATGTCCCAGCGCGGCCCCTGCGCTACCGCCGCCACCCACCGTCCCCACCCCCCGCCGCCCCTGGCGCGATGGCGGCGGCAGTTCGGGACCCCCTGCTGCCGTCATCAGCCTGAGAAGTAGGTACCACGGCAGCAAGAGGACCCCGAAGCACAGGGACGTGCAATTTGCCCGAAGTCACTAAGCTAGTAAGTGAAAAAGCCAGAATCCAAGACCGAGAAGTCTAGTTTCCATGCTCGGAACTTCCAGCCACGGTGACGCCTCCAACAACCTCAAACAAAAAGGTCAGGAGAAAACTATTTCAGAGCTTAATAAACATTTTAATTAGCTGTCAAGTTAGGTCCCGAGCCAGGGCACAGAACATGAAAGAAATTAGAGTATGGCTATGGGAACAAGACGACAGGATTATAATAAATTTTACCGCTTAGTTCTAGTTCTTTTTCTCTTTGTTCCTATGGAAATCATGATTGAAAGTGAACTTTAAGGATATGCTGGCTGCAAATCATTAGCTGCATCACCGACCAAGAACGTTTATTCTTGAAATACTGATTGCCTACTATCTGCCAGGCACAATAATCCATGCTAGAATACAAAATCAAACAAATAGAATTCCTCCTTTAGAAAAACTTACTGCAGAGAAAAGAAAAAGATACACATTATAATGATCAGGTGCACAAACTATTCATTGCCCCAGTGGACTGGAGGTACAATGGCCTTCTCAAGTTTTGGGGTATCATACTCAAATTCATACGTGATACTAGAGAAACGGCCTAATTACAACTAAAAATGGATTTCCCAGCAGCCTGGTGGCATGGGAATCTTGGAAATAAAATGAGAAATTTATAATTAAATTCTTAATATGAATTCCTATTGGAATTAATATTAGAAATAACATATTATACATTTAATGTATGATATATTAATTACATCAATGTATTTTATACTAAATTATATTCTGAATATCATCTCTCTCAAATAAAAGGCCCAGAATTTATTACTGAACTCTCCCTTGATGTTTCCGTTACTGTTGGGTACTTGGAGTGTTTTTGGTCTGTTCATGGACACAGTAAACACACCTTTAGGACCAGACACTGTTTAAAAGAAAATATCCACATAGTTTTTTTATAAGTTACAAACACATTCAAGAAACGATTTGTAGTGAGCACATTGGTCATTTTTTTTCCCACTAGGGATTGTTCAAGAAAGAACAAAAAAATTCCTCCTTTATTTATCATCCTGTATGGGCATATAATCTGCCAGGTGCAAAGGACATCACTGACTTCATTCCAAGTTTAAATGAGCAGGAGGGAGAAGGAAAAGACCATATCAAATAGGATAATGTCTTTACTGATGGGCTCGGATAATTTATGTCACACAGCAACGACGAGAATGCTTGCAGCTTTATTAAGGTAAAGCCTATATTATCCATTAATATTATGCCTTATGAATTATTTAGGATTAATAGAATATTATGTATGCACATATATATAATCTATATATACCAATATAATATTATATATTGGTGCTGCCTTGGGATCTAAGGCACAGGGGACATGAGGCAGTACAACTCCTGCCAATATGATATTATATCTATATACATGTATATCTATA